AAGAGCCAACTCATTTCCTTATAGACAAGAATCCACATTACTAATAAACAGTCACCATTAGACCTGATACTGCTGATGTTTTGATATACTCCACCACTCAAGTGTACAGCAGCAAAGAATCCATCCTCAAACTGAGAGGTGGCTCTCAATTCAGAATTTGTTCCAACAACTGTGCAACGTGCAAATGTGGAACATTACTGCTGTTCACCTCATATTTGTTCAGTATACAATAGGAAGATTTCAGTATATGGTACTGTCATTATAAATCTGGATTTTTTTAGAAGCACGAAAGGTACTCCCTTAAAAGTAGCTGTTTCATGAGCAGCAAACTAATGAAGCCTGGTTTCTACTTGACAGGTATCTTCTGTCCTGCACTCTTATCAGAGTATCTGCAGCTTGTCACTGTCCTCTATAAACTTGTTTCAAAAGCCCTCCAATCTCTCTCACATTTCCACACCTCTTGGGAATTTTGTCACCTTTCTCCCCTGTCCCTTAACTAGCGCATTCCATATTCCCTAACCTCACCAGCCCACAGCACTGTATACTCCCTTCTGTACTTTCTCCTAATTACCCTCAGTACATGAGACATTACCTGCTGCAGCTGGATCAAGCATGTAAGCACCTATGGACCAGCCAGTATGCACATACCAACTTGCTAGTCAATAAGCAAAACAGAAGACAACTGCTTAACTCCTCTCGCACCTTCTCCCCCAGAGAAGAAAAAGTTTGCACTTATTTTGGTTTCCTCTCTTCCACCCAGAGTCTGAGCTTTGTGGAACTTCAAAGAGTTCTTGAAGAAACTTTGAGATGTCTATGCCACTGCCAAATTTGGCTGAAGCCTACTGAAGTTGTTAAAATGGAATTGATAGAGTGATTATACAAGCTCCCTTTCCTTTTGAAAGTAGGCTAAAACCCCATTAACAGTCTTACTTATGTCATCCCTTCATTCCTATTCTTCCTTTAAAAATAACAATTTTATTCTACTGCATTAGCTTATGTAACCCACCCCTGAGCCAAAGTAGTTGAAACTTTCAGACTGTATTTATTAATTTAGTTAGTTAAGTGTGTATTAAGTGTGTGTGCCTCTCAATACACTTGTCCTTTTTAAGGTACTTGGTGTCATGAAAAATAATGGCAAGAAGATCAGTGAAACCATATACGCTTCACTAATGGCTATCCCCCAAAGTTTTTCAACTGGTATCATTGCAGGCAAGAACAGAACTGCTTTTTCTCTAGCAAACTGTCAGCTGTTCTCATGGTTACAGTTCTAGGAATTTGGAATGACAGGTCACAGTTATGAAAATTAGTAGATTTATTTGGCATGTTTCTATCTAGTAAATAACACTCTCCTATAAAGAGGACAAGGGGCTGCTGTACATTAACATGGTGTTTATTTTCTATGAAAACCACTTTTTAGAGTCTCTGTCCCAGTGAAGAAGGTGCTAACCAGACTTCATTTTTCTTAAAATTGCTCATTCACAGAATGAAGACAAAAATATATAGCTCTTGTACTCTCTCCATTACTATAAATGCACCACTGGTGTTTTCACTGCAAGATTCAACTGTGTGTATACACCTCCCAGATGGCATGAAGCACGGGTACAAAAGTATGCTTCCCATTTAAATGCAAGAGAAGGCAGGAATGTTAGCTGTTGCCATAGGGTAAAATCTATTCTGTCAATTGGCTATATAAAAAATAATCAATATTTTTTCATTAAGTTAACTGCCAAGATTGACAAAGCTTCAACTATGGCATTATGGTAATTCCATTAGCACCTCTTTGCACAACTGGTTTTCACTGAACCACAAGTTGAAGGAACAGGACAACAATAGAATAGGCTTCTCTCACACTTCCAACTCTTCACTGTCAGAAGGGTCTTCCTTCAGGAAGGCCAGGAGAGCCCGGATTCCAAAGTCTCTGTTAATTACCGCAAAATGACATGTGTAATGTATGCAGAGAAACTGGAACACCACCCACTGAGCTTCTCTCAAAGGTGGGCCGGCCCAGATGAAAACGTCATTTTGTTCCAGCGGAGCCACGCTGGGACTGCACTGTCATTGTCAGCCATTAGTCCCAAAGTATTTACGCCCCCCAACACAGGCCCTAACATTCCAGGGACATGCCCACATACTGTGCTCAATAAGAAACAAAAATTTAACATTGTCATTAAGCGTCAATCTATCCAACCCAGAACACTCTGTGAAACACTTTACTGAATCACTCATCCTCTTGGAGAGCTGTTTACTAAGTGAGCTGCCAAGGAAAACTGTCCTCCAAGGCATACAGTTAGGGACAGCACTCTCAGGCATACCAGCCTGGGATTTAAGGGCTGAGAACTTCAGGGCAGCAATCCCTGGATACAGAGGAAGGGCTCCAGAGCTTCCCATCTCTCACACGGTCCTGCACAGGTTGCCTGAGAGCCCACAATATTTCGAAGACTCAGCGGGGCTTTAATCTCCAGGTCAGCACACTAGAGAGGCCTGGGAGGACCTTCTTCAGCCTATGTTCCTGGATCTGCAGATGGAAGCCTTGAAGCCCTGATAACAGGAACATTATCAGAACTTCTACTCCCACAGTTGAAGTCCTGGGCAAGTTTCCAAGGTCCCTGCTAGGCACTGGTGAGCCTGGTAGGCTTGACAGCCCAGCAGTTCCTTGAGCACTGGTCTGAGCTTAATCATAAGGTGCCAGTCTCCAAATTAATTTCCAAAGAAAAATATAAGGAAATTCCCCAATACAAGGGACATTTTAAAATGTCAAAACAGTAAGTCTGGCCCACCTGTGATTTCAGTTTCCTTCAGAAAAGTCTCTATCCTTTGTGTTCCACTCTGAGAACAAGCCTTCACCTATTAAAATACACTAAAATCAACAAATATGAACAAAATGTGCCAAAATGCCTCTAAATAAACTCTTCAAAATATAAAATCATTCCTTGGGTCATCCCAAAATTTGTAGTTATTTTCACATGTACGTGCTTGCCTTGAACCCAAAGCCTTCCATTCTAAAACACACTTATTCATCCTGCCTCAAGATTTAAGAGTAGAAGGGACACATCCTATAAAGTTGAACCCTGAGAGATTCAAAGCACAGTCTCCTACTTTGGCATGGTATGAACTCTCTACTTCACTAAAGAAAGTTTCTGTGAAGTCTAGATAGCTGAGTGCAGGAATTGCTGGTGTCACAGCATTGTCCAGTACTAGAAGACATCAAACACAAGAACAAGACTGTCCTGGATGCCTCCAGGTATTGGTGAGCAAACAGTGTGGCCATCTGAGATGAAGGGCAGTGTACCTGACCACATGGGAAACAGCAGATTCCTGGGATTTGAGGGTAACGCAGCAAGGAAGGGAGGGATGAACCATGTGAGCTCTCATTGAGAAGATGAAATGTTTGGCCCATCTAATTTATTAGGCAGTGCCATGAAGTTCTGCTGGTTTAGAGTCTGAGGTACCGGCCCCTGCTCTGGTTTGACAACCTGTCACAGAAAGGATAATGAAATAAAGAACATCAGTCAGAATGCAGGCTCATGGTGGGCAGTTTGCCCCATCTTCCCTTACACTGCAGGTATGGAAAAATAACTCAGCCTTTTAAAATATCAAATATTCTACCAGTTGAGTGAATACTTACTTTACGAAGGAGACACTAAACAATTCTGCAGCTGAGCTAAACTTGGGAAAACTGCAAAAACATTTTCAAAAACTGAATTATTATAATACTATCAAAGTTCCCAATTTCCCAGGCACCTTAATGAACAGGACAATCTCTCAGAGTTAAAACATTTATAATAGAGATATTTTTAATTTGTCTATAAATCATTGTTAAAGATCTGCTTCTTTTAATAGTTTATTTTCTTGTAATTAAAAGGTGACTGAAGGCTTTTAAAAGGTGACTATAAAGATTTCTTAGAAGAAAGTAGTACCACTCACATCCATTTATGCTGTATTAGATATATGCATGTCAGGCTACAGGGAAGGATACACTTCTAATCATTTAGGACTCAATATTGCATACCATACCAATGACTCCAGAGATGCAGAAGCAAAACCTTAGAGGTAGCATGGTTTCTTGTCTGAAGAATCAGTTTTGCTTCAATCTATATTCACAAACAAGTTAACCAGATGCCACAATGCCGTTTCAGAGTTCTCCGTATTGCTGAAGTGTCATCACTTAATTCTTGTTCCCCATTAACCACACATACATCCATTGCAATAGCAGGGATATGCCCTTTGTTATCTTTAATTTCTATTCTCCTGCTACTTTCACAAAATCCCCACTAGCACAGCATGTATTTCAGAAAAGAAAGCAAAACAACAGTAATTTTTTCCCCTACAAACCAGATTCTACCTCAGAATCAAAAGTACAAATTAGATATTATTATTACAGGTTTCTTGATATTCAACATGACAAAGTACAAAACCTTTTTTATTTTTTTCCTCTTTCAAAAACAGGCCACAAGTTGATGCAAACAAAATCAATATTGTGCACAGCATTTTAGCTCCTGTACTATGTGTCCTCTAAGGCAGTAAACCCATTATTACCATGAGAAAAGTCCAGCTGGAGGTATCACCTACAAGTTGCATTACTTCTTCCTTATACGGTTTTTACTAAAGCATATGTTCTGCTTGAAAACAATTCAGGACCCGTGAGCTGGCAGTAGAACAACAATTTAAGTTGTGGTGTCAATAAAGGTAGGAGGGGCAATTCACTAAAGCTACATATTTCAGGTACAAAAGCCACAGAAGCACACTAAGGAGTCAGACAAATATACATTAAAGACCATGAAAAAGCAACTAACTATGTGCCTTTAAAAGTGCACTTCAAGGAGGAAAGCTGCCAAATTACAGAGGGGATTTACTGAGAAGAATGTGTTGCTGCCAGAACAGACAAAAGCATGCATTCTATCCATTCCAAGCTCCTCCCCATCTCCTGTCATGCTCACAGCAAGAAGCAGCTCAAAAATTGACAACCACAGACTCCAGGATTGAAAGAGATAAAAAAATACCTGCTGGTAAGTGCTTGGAAAAATTTTATTTTGAACATCTGACACAGGAGACTGGGAAAAAAAATAAAAGAAAAGAAGGAACAACTCACTTATGATCAAAAATCATCTCCCCGTATTCTTGGGACATCAAGCACAATTCCACAGCGCACACCTGGTCGGGTTTTAGAAGAGCCAACGTGCAGCAGCGCTTCTCCAACAGGCGCAACAGCCTGTGTACCGCACTGCATTGTTGCCGGCCCCAGGACAGGAGTTTCCCGGAGTTAGCGTGGAGTTGGGGCACGGAAACTTCACTCCAAGCGGGAGCGCCTGGTGGCCCCGAGGCGTCCATGAGACGCCCAGCAGCCCCGCCAGGCGCGAACCGCTCCCCCCGCTACTCCCTACCTGGCTGGTGTCCTCGCTGTGCTCCAAGTGCACGATACCCTGGCTCCTGCACTCCGTGTCGCTCAGCACGTCGTCCTCCGAGTCCTCCAGGAGGGACGAGGAGCCGGTGGAGGAGAGTGAGGAGTTGGACAGTCTGCGGGACTGCAGGTGCAGCGAGCTGCCCGTCCTCAGCCAGCCGCCCTCCGGCTGCGGCGGCCGCGCCTGGGGGCTGCCCTGCGTCTCCTCGCTCTCCTCGGCGGTGACGGTGAGCCGGGGGATGACGGGCGGCAGCACCCCGTTGGGGCGTCGGCAGCCCCTCTTCGCCGGGTCGGGGAGCTGGCGGGCGGCGGCGGCAGCGACAGCGGCGCAGCGAGCCTCGAAGAGGGAGCGGAGCTCCCCCACGCTCAGCCGCTTGGCCCGGCTGAGCTCCGGGCTGCTGTGCAGCCCCGCGCGGGGCTCCATGGCAGGGTCGGCGCCGGCCGCCTGCCGAGCAACGCTCCAGGATCGGCGGCCGGAGGGGTGCATGGAGGAGCGCCTCGCCACCGCCGCCAGGGAAACTTCTTTGTGGCTCAGTCTCCGGCCGCAGCCCGAAGCCCGGAGGCGAGGCGCATCTCCAGCCTGCCTTCCCTGGGCAGCTCTAAGTCACCCGCGGGAATAGCCGGAGGCGGCTACTGTGCCCGCTGACCCAGCACCAGGGCCATGGGGGCGCGCTGAGCCCGCCCGCCCGCCGCCACCGCCCGCTCCGCCTCGGCGCCGAGGGGAGGAGCGAGTCGAGTCGAGTCGAGACGCGCCGCTGAAAGCCCCTTGCCAACCCCTTGCCCGCCCCTTCCCGCCGCCACCCTCCTTTTGGTTTCGCTTTCCCTGAGGCGGCCCCCGGGGAGCGGCCGCGGGGTGTCCCGGTTGGGTTGTCCCGGTATGGCGCCCCCGCCTTACCTCCGAGCGGCGCCGCCTCCCGCCCACCGCCCCTCGCCGAGCAGCGGCTCCCCGGGCACGGCGGCTGCGCAGGGCGGTGCGCCCCGGCCGCCCGCGGGCCGGAGGGGCGGTGCGACCCGCCACAGCCCCCTCCCAGCTGTGGGGACGGGGGGAAGTGGCCTATGCCGCCCTCTCGGGATTTCGGCCCCTTCAGGGTCCGCGTGTGACTCCCGCCCCTCGGTGCGCCCTACCAGCGGGATGCACCTCGGCGCACGCCCTGGCTTCCAGGGCTGCCGTCCGGGACCGCGACATCCTGGGGGTGGCTCAGCGCTCACCGCGGGGGCGGAGGGGCCGACTGGGCTGTCACCGACCCGCGGGGACCAGGTCGTTGTGCGTGAGTGACCCATTGGTGAGTCCGCCCCGGTGCACGGCGCGGGGCAGCAGCTGACTGAGCCTCTGGGGCGCGGGGGCTCCCGCTGGCCGCGCCGGTGGGGCTGCGAGTCTCGCGTGTGACATCCCCGGCTGGCTGCGAACAGGCTCGCCCGCGTGTGACGGGCTGCGGGCCAGCGCCGGCCTCCCATAAAGCCTGAATTTTCCGTCAGTCAGCGCGTTGCATACTGAGCTGTGCTTAATCAGGTTGCCTTAAGCTGCGTGTTGCCGAGATACCCCAGCCCCCTTTACGAATTAATTTCAGCATTTGACACCCCCCCTTCTTAGTACTTCTTGCCTCCTTAACTCCCACTCTTTATCTAAAATGTAACCCGTGCTGGGCTGAGGCACGTGTTGTAATTGTAGCTATTAAGACCTTTGGAACAGGAAAGGCATTCTAATGTAGGGTTACATCAGCTGAAATGATTAGTAAAATTAATAATTTTGGAACCAAATGCTGAAATCTTCAACTGAGTTTTTGCTCATTTATCTCATTGTTTCCTTGTACACTCCCATCTGTCTCTTACCATCTGCTGTCTCTTCCCTGATCCTTGGGCTGTGAGTACCTTGCAGAAGGGGCTGTGCTCACTCCACACATAACGCAGGCCCAGCCCGGGCCACACCTGGGACTCCTCGGTACCGTGATGCTATAAAATAATTTGTTAACCTGTCCTGTGATTTGTTCAGATTATTCAGCTGCAGTTGACTATTTTACTGCCCGATCTTACAGGCAACCTTTGAAAAAGCCTGTTTCAAGATGACATGCCTTCTCTTGAGGTGAGTGCTGTGCCTCTCAGGGCCCACAGCCTGCGAATGTTCAGGAGCAGACAGGAAGGCAGCTGGGAAACTTAATAAATAATAATTCAGGCATCTTCAAATACTTTTCTAGAATTTAGTGGTGCCCGACCAGGAATTTGGGCAGTCTGAATTTCCAGTTTAGATGGCCAAGTCTTGTGGTGGATTTAGTTCTTCGTGTACAAGCAGTCGTGGGAGTTCTCCCAAGGTGTATGTGATAGATGAGGCAGGGGTGACAGTGCCGCCAAACTATGTGAAAACACTACCAGTAAAGTGCAGAGGAAAATGGTTGGCAGTGCAGCTTTTCTCCGCTAGACAGAAAGAAAACCAAAGCACCTGTAGGAAGGTGTTCCTTCATGGTAAACTGCAATGGATTTAAGTTTTTTCTGAAAGAAGATAGTCACTGCTTTTATTATTAACTTTGTAATTAGTTTCAGATTTCATGGTGCAGAAAGGCAGTCTCAAAACATGAAATCTGATTAGGTCTAATACATACCTAAAGTCATAACAGTTTAATCAAATTCATGATTTTATAATTGATGGTTTATAAGAAGGCTCACAGTGATAAATTTATAGATAGAGCAGAAAATGTAAAGGCCAGTTTTAAATGGGTATCCAGGATTACACACACACAGGTTGGACACATGTAAGTATTTTATGTCACTGTGTCACCTTCCATCTGTAGGCAAGCAAGCTAGAAAAATATATTTATTCACGGGAGAGGGGTTAAGTGTGAGCTTTCACAGGCCAAACAGGAACCTTCAGGGGTGCCCTACTGCATGTGGAAGGATATTTTGGTTTCCAGTCTCTTTTTGCCGTTGCTCTGTTTGCTGATTCTGCAATGACAGGATTATGTGTGGTTTATGGTTAGGAAACCTTATTTAGGAACCTTAACCTTGGCAACGACTGTGAGACTGCCAACTCCATTCAGTTATAAAATATCACTTTAAAGATTTTACTTTGAATTAAGGAAGGTAGAAATAAAAATACTCAGTGCATTTTTATTTTAATAAATGCATAAAAATAAAAAAAGTCCTTTTAATAATATTGGTTATTGGAGATTGATTGGTTTAATTGACTTCTTTTATAGGATATATGCTTTAGAGAGCTAGTGATCTGAAGTTTGTGTAAGACTTAATTCCAAGTCTTTCAACACTGCCAGGAGAATAAAGAGATTCTTCAGTCAGTATCACCACATTTGCTTGTAAGTGTACAGCTGTTTTCCCAAAAGGAATGATGCTCTGTGTTCTGGCAAAGAGCTAATGACTTGTACTTTCCACTTGTGAAATGCTACATTCCTGACAAGACAGGGCTATCGGCGCTCATTAGTGATGCTTGGCAAGAATTGGCTCTGATAAGATACAGATAAATATGTCTCTGTTTTACACATGGGTAAACTGATAGACAGTATGTGAATGATCTACAGACATATAGTTTGTCAGGGGCAGAAACGGGGAGCTTCAAATTTCCTCTCTGCTACTGTAACTGCCAGATCACGTTCCCACCTCCAGGGGTAAAGTGTTTTGCTTATTGCAGTCATTCTGATTCATATCAGTATTGCTTTGTGCTGCCGGGGTTTCACATTGCACACACTCCTGCTACAAAAAGAGCTTTCTGCCTTTATTTATATTGGCAAAAATAAGAGTCTATTTCATTCCCATGAAATCCCTTTCTAAATGTTGTTTTCATTAACATATTGCTTATTTCAAATTTCTTTCAGTTTGCATTCCCATAGGGTGTTTAAGCCTTGACAATATAGAGGCAAAGATGCGATGGACATTTCTAAACAGATTTGAAAGATTTCATGAAGACAACAGTTTAAATATGATCTAGAGGGGAGCCTTGGGTTTAACTTGGCCTGTGTAGCACAAAATACTTCACTGCCCACATAAGATTTCTCAGAGACCCTAGAGGATGACATCTGAGAAATGCCACATTCTTTAATTTCAACCTGAGCATGAACTTAAAACACCTGAAAAGTACTTGAGAGTTGTGAATCACGTCTCTTTTGAATGCAAGACATACGAGCTTTTGTAAGTAGCTGTAATATTTCTTTCAGGATATAACTGGGGAGAAAAAAAGTTGGGTGCATTTTTATACAGAAACATCCTTTTTTCCGAACTGGAAGAAAGGCATATGGCCTGAATGCTGGCCGTGCCTAAGGAAAGATCCGAGCTCAGCCACGGGCCGTTCATTCCTGAGACAGAGGTTCCCCCCAGTGGCTGAGATGAAGAGCACGTCTTCCCAGGAAGTCAAGGGGGAAAGGGATGGATGGGCTGCCTGCCTCTCAGGAGTGGTGTCAGGAGCAGCTCTGTGGAGGGATGATGCTTCTCTGCACAAAAGAGGTGGGAGCAGAGCAGGTGATGGGGTGGCCAGCTGGCCTGCCCAGTGCAGCTGGCAGAGTAACAGCGGCAGTGACAATGGGCAGCTTCAGTAGCTTGCCACCAGTTCCCCGGGCTGGGGGCCCTGGCTGTGTGTTTTAATCGCTCTCTCTTTGCTGCTTATTACACTAAGTGAGCAAGTCAGTGTATGTTACAGTCTCATCCCCTTTTTGTCATACAAACACAACCAGTTCAAATTATGCAAGTACACAGCTGCTGCATGCAGGAGGAGAATGAGACTCCAAGGCCAGGTTATGTGACATGAAAACAGTAGCTGCAATAAATGGAAGCTCCTTATTTTCCAGGTTAATTTTTGCCAAATTTCTCTATGCAAGACATGAGGTCTTTTTAATATAAACTCTGGACACCTGCCTAATGAAAGCCATATTAAAAATAAATAAAAAGAGGAATCCTTTTTTACCTAAGAAGAAGCATAACTGTAACTTAAGCAACAATTTTTAAAATCATACTGTAGCTGGATTAAGATGTGCAGTGGCACAAAGAATGCTTCAGCTGTCCCCCACCCTGGACCTTTGGCTCATAATCTATGGATCAGCACAGGCAGAAATCACTTTTTGCACTCCCCAGCCCTGCTGTCAGCTCAGTATCCCATAGTACTGCCCCCAAGCAACCCAGAGGCTTTGGGAAGTTGATGACCTGAAAGGGGAATCCAAAGCTGCTGGGGAAGCTCAGGAAAGAAACTCCTGGATTTATGCTGTGGAATAAAGTTGGGTTTCCAAGATATGACAGTTGACTTAGCAGGAGATTGAACAGATCCTCAGCTAGGAGGGAGATGTAGAATATCTGTGGATGTGAGTATGGTTCTACAGGTCTAAGTGCATGGATCAGATGAACCTGCAGGGAAGAAACAATAAACTGTGAAGGTCCCCTGGTGGCTGGAATTAAAATTACATTTCCAAGTCACGTCTGCACAAAGTACCTCCGACTATTCAATTACCTCATAAATAGAAGAGAGGGAGCTACAGGGGCAGAAAACACACGTCAGGCACAGCCAGATATGACTTCCCCCTTGAAAAAGGAGTTGCAAGTGTTTGAGATCATAGGGTGATGGCAGCCATGACAATGAGAAAAGACACAAAGGATAAGGCCAGGGGGGAAAAAGGAGTGTGCACAGCACCCCTGCTACCAAAATGACTCACAGTGGTGTGCTGGTATATTGAGCATACTATTACTCTATAAGGAAAGGTA